TAGTGATAATCATGCTAGCTCCTTGGAACAACAGATAGCACTGAATAAGTTGCGTTGGCTCGGGTACGTGCTATGTATGCCTGGTCACCGCTTACCTAGCAGGGCCTTGTTCAGTCTACCAGGTGTAGGGTGGCGCAAGGCTCGAGGTGGACAGAAGTTGACTTGGCAGCGGCAAATGAAATTACTAACGACCAAATTGGGTACTGTTGGTCAGTGTGGCCCTCCGACTGGCTTGCCGAACGGCTGGGTGGTTCGGGTTTTTCCCGTTCCAGCAAATGGTTCGGCGGCATTGTACCAGGACGTGGTTTGTTTTCGCCTGGCAAGCGTTCTCCCTATAAAAAGCCATAAATGTCTGTTTAACAACACTGCTACGTGGTGGATGTGACTTGCCGCTAAATAAAGTCACTACCACTTGCTCCTCCCTGAGCGGCATTGTACTTCCAGGGTGTGTTGGGCCCCTGGTCCTTCACGGACAAAAAGGCGTATTAACCATCTATTTGTTCACCGGCTCCCAACGGGTTGCGACGCCCTCACATCGCCCTTCTGCCTTGTAGGTTAGATCTTTGATCAGAGGCTCTGGGTAGGGCCCCTAAGACAACCCTCTACTTCGGCCTGGGCAACCGGGTAGTAACACGCCCACTGACGAATCATGGACCACACTGCTTACTCCTGCTTCTGCTATGCCTAACTTCTATGCTAACCCAACCGCCCAACCTCCACTCACAGATCACCCCACCTCCCCTCCTTCACCTATGTGTTCACTTATGTCTTCCACGGTCACCGTCACAAACGACCCGCGTCTCGCAACTGATGGAAGCAACAGCCAAACTCCCGGTTTTCAATCTCCTGCGATCGCAACCGCCTCTCACCTCACCGAAGCTCCAGCTCTTCTTCGACCTGGTTCTCCATTCATCCTCGCAGCGTTTAATGTTCTAACTTTGATGCAGATCGGACGACAAGCATGTCTGGCCCGTACTCTTGAAGCGCTTTCGGTAGACATCTGTTGCCTTTCAGAGACCAGATTACAAGACTCTAGCGCGCCGTCATCAGAATGGCTTCACCGGCAAACCCTGACACCAAATACCACTTGCGGCTTTTCGGAGACCCAGAAGCTGCCACCACTGTGAACACGTTTGGTTGCTGATATGGCTAGGAGCCGGCCCCAATGGCGTTTGTGTTGTGAGTTCCTTTGTCCATCCCCCTCTTGTTTAGCATCCCCCTCCAATCACGATCTCAATCGTTAGGCATAATATGACTTTCTTTTACGGCAGCCAGCTGTTAGCTCTCCGGAACGATGTCAATCCGTTACTGGGGACTCAGCGGGCGTGTCACTGTTTGTTTTTCTTTTCTTGCCCTTTGTATTGCAGCACAATAGCTGAGGTGTTTTCCACCTCCAGCTAACGTGTAATGATGATGATGATGCATCGAGCAGGGTGGATTGGGGTAAGGACGCTATTGCTCAAGCCTTACTGTCGTCTTATCCCTGTCGCGCTTTTTTATCTTTATCGTCCCACTTCACTTTTATTCCCTACCGTGTTCATCCCCCAATTCTTAGACCTCCCTCATCTTGGTTCAATGGTCACTTGCCCTCTGGTTTTAACACACGTAATCGCAGGGCGTCGCTCCAGTCCCGTTGACAAGTCCATGTTCAAGAAAACGGACAATGTCAGTTCACCCGTTTTTTCTTTGGAACTCCCGATGTTTGTTAAGACTGGCATGCCTCAACGTTCGCACTTTGCTATAGGTTGACCAACAGACCGCTTGCCCAAACACTACAGACCCTATCGATCGACATCTGCTGCTTGTCGGAAACCCGCTTTCAAGATGCGAGTCCCGTGATTACCCTGCAATCTCCCACAAGCGCCACTGACAGCGCGTTCTCGTTGCGTTTGTCTAGAGATAACGCAGCTTCAAACACTGATCAAGCCGGTGTGGGCATTGTTATGAGTCCCCGAGATGAAGCTCCCCCGGTTGACTGGATGCCAGTCAACAGCTGGATGTGCGTCGCCCGGTTGACTAGTTCGTTCAGAGCTTCGAAGTCGCGCGGAGGCACTGTCAGTTTGTCATTGAGACCTACGCGCCCACAAATTGCAGCGCTGTTTTCGGGGTACGATGAATTCTATGACCAACTGAACGAGCTGCTTCGTCACAGGAAAAGTACGAATACTGTGATCTTGGTTGGCGGTCTTAGCGGCCAAGTTGGAAAACCACTGATGAGCTTCATCTGGGCGACTAACACGGTCTAGGCTCTCATAATGATAACGGTGGGCGGTTGATACACCTGTGTGTGGATGCTCATCTCTTTCTCGGGAGCACCAATTTCCGACACAGCACGTGCAGAAGGGTGACATGTCCCCCACCAGTCTTGGACGCAAATCGACCGTATCGCGATCAGTTACTTCCGGAGAGGCTATCCAAAACTGTCGCTCAATTTGAAGCACGAGCATGGACTCTGACCATGCACTCTTACAGTTCGCTTAGGTGGGCGCATGCGGCGTCACTATGAGCGCATATACACCAGCCAGCTGTCAAAGCCAGATGTCCTGAATTGGTATCAAAGTATGCTGACATCCGGGCTGAGTAAACGCTCCCTGGACACAGTAGCGGGCCATTGTTCGCTTATTTACCAGACGTTATTAGCAGCAGGCATGTCTTCATGTCGCAAATCAAGTTACCAAGTTGGACTTCGGGTTTCAATGAAGTCTCTGGAACTTATGGATGCTCGCCAACGTAGTCCGGCTCGAAGCGAGCACAAGGAGACTCGCAAAGCCCTCGGGCGAAACGGCGTGCTAGCCTGAAGGGAGATCGCGAAGTGTGGTGGTCTCATCGTGCATCGGAGATGGAAATGCTTGTTGGCTTGTTAACCATCAGAGGTTCTTCCGTTTGATACTGGAAACGAACAGCAGTAAATCTGATGTTAGCGAGACCATACGCACAGAAGTCGAACGTGAGATCAGACTGTTGAAAGTAAATAAGATCGTAGGAGTGGATTAAATCCCTCCAGCTCTCTTCAAATTCGGGGGACCTCTTCTTGTAGATCATCTGCACAATTTACTTGTGAATCTGTGGGCGCAAAAAACTGTCCCAGCAAACTCGAACACCTCGATAATAGCACCAATTTTCATAGGGAGCTCACATTCTGAATGCGGCAATCAAAGAGAGATAATAGGCTTACTGGCACACGTGAAAGCCAGATACGCGAGGAGCAGACCGGGTTTCGTCGCAATCATAGCTGTATTGATCACATCTTCATCTTACCTCAATTGTTGGAGCATCGCCATATTTATCGGCGAGCCACGGTAGTTGTATTCCTCGACATCGAAGGTGCCTTCGATTCGCTTGATCGATGTGCTATTCGGGACTGTCTACTTAGGACTGGTGTGCCCGGAAAATACATAAACATTATCAGAGCGCTTTCCTCGTACAGTGAGGGCTTACGGAAAACTGTCTCTGCTCTACAATATATCCAGTGGTGTGCGACAAGGATGCCCACTATCATCTTTTCTTTTTAACTTTTCTATCGACGAGATCATGGAAACTGCGTTCACTCCACACAATCTGTAAGGCGTGGAGCTGCTCCCAGCTGAACGACTTCTTGACTTGGCGTAGGGCGACGAAATTGCCCTTATCTGTGCCAGCTTTCAAACGTGCCAAGTAGCGCTGAACGGATTAGCACTTGCTGTCAACCGTTTCAGGCTATGCTTTGCACACTCGAAATGCAAACTGCTTCTCCATGATTGACAGGGATACAACCTTTCGCTGACTCTAGGTGGGGATCAGCTAGAGCTCCTCGAGAAATTCAAGTCTCTAGGCAGCTATATCAGTGCCAGTGGAACGAAAGATGAGATCACAGACCGCATATCAAAAGCTCTAGGTGCTTTTGCCAGTCTTCTCCATCTGTTGCGATGGCGCAATATCACTCCCGCCCTGAAGGGTAGGGTTTACGGTGCAGCCGTTCGATCAGCCCTACTGTACGGTTGTGGAACGTGGCCCATTAGATTAGCAAACATAAAGTGGCTAGTTACATTCGACCACCGGTGCCTTCGCAGCTTGGCTCATGTCTGGTGGGAACACGACGTGAGCAATGAGCGTGTATTTGGTGCAGGAAGCGCGAGTGAAATGCGCAGTACAATTATATTACGCGCTAGGCTCCGATGGCTGGTCGTCGTGTTGCGCATGCCAGTCCATCGACTTCCGCGACGTGCGTTGTTTGCGCGCCAGGGGTGCAGATGAATGAATAGGAGGGGTGGTCAGGCGATGACTCGGTCAGGAGGATTGAAGGCCGTCATTTCGAGGTTAGCTTCGGTTTAAGCCTCTCGGTTCCCTTATGGGGTACCAGAGGAGAATGAACACGTTTAGCTGGGTACACTTGTTGACATGGCTAGGAGCTGATCTCAATGGCGTTCATGTTGTAAGTTACTTTGTCCCACTCGATCTCGCTTGGGCTCTACTCCAACCACGATCTCATTTATTTGGCGTAGTATACCACTTTTGTAGCGCAATAGCCGGCTGTTAACTCTCCGAAACGATGCCCCTCCACGACTGATGACTCAGCCTGCGTGCTTCTATGGCGTGTTCTTTTTTGCTTTGCGGCACAGTAGCTAAAGTGTTTTCCCATCTAGCTAGCTTGCATAATGATGAGGATACTTATTTTCTCTTTGTTCACTTTGACTCCAGTTCTTCGGACGCCATAGCCATAGAACACTGTTACGTATTCCAACATTGCATTAAATATCAATTGGCCTATCATGGCTCCAGTTCGCATGTTTGGGAGCACGCTCTTTATACTCCTGTGAGCAGTATGGTTAGCGCCATTTGTTCACCATATTGTATACTCTATGCTTTTATAGTAGCGAGACCGTGGAACCGATACCAGCTCCATTACCTCAACAGCAACACCAACAACAGCAGTTACTAGTAAAATTACCACTTTAGATATATTTTTGATATTCTTGACTCTGTTTCTTTTTTTCAGATTATAGACCTATGTTTTGACCGGTATGTCTTTGGTCACTGAAACTCATAATTCATCAAACGTCACCTTCGACACTTCATCAACCGCGGGTTCAAACGCATCTGCTTCACCTGTTCATACTCGGCCCCCGTTTTCCTCATTTTCTGACTCACTGGACGCACAACCAGGTGCTCTGCTTTCTGAATTACTCTCTGACTGTGACCCCGTTTGTTTGGATCCTTCAAACGGCACTCCTTTAGCCAGCCCAAATACATCCGATCTTAGTTCGACGAGATTGGACGTAAAACCTGAGGACGTTGTGCTGCGGGAGGGCATTCACTCATTAATGACCGAAGGGCCCGTTCCTGATCCAGGTATGTGCACCCACTCTTTTTATTCTTTCATATGCAGCTGTTTTTCGGCCTCATCGAACATGTTTTGCTGTTAACCATTAGACCAACTATCAACTCTTCTTCCCATCAAACGCGACTTGAGCACAATAATTGCTGCACTCTTTGCGTAAAACCAACCCGTGGTAGGATGGGACGTGAAAACTAACTTTCACTCAAACAGGTGTGTACTCTCTTACGGCGTTGCATCTAAACCAATCAAATGTCATGTGCGCCGTCCGAACTTAACCAACTGGTGGGTTGTAGTCATTGTTTGCGTTGACTAGTTGATAGATTGCCCATGTTTGACAGCTTCTTGGCTTTTTGAGTTCCTAATAGCTGCGGTTGGTGGGTGGCAATAATAAACAGACGGCGTCTAACGCTTCTGTTGATGTTATCAAATAGGATAACTCACACGAATCCATTCACTAAACGATAACTTCTCATTGGAGTTGGAAACGATGCCCATCCCAGCGTGAACTGCTGCATCAGCGTCTCTGGATGCTTGTAACAAATAGCGACAAGACAGGATGGATTCAGTTAGTTGGATAACCGAATCAGCCAATGTGCCTACAAGTGCAACCTGCCGAGGTATGTCTTAGCCTACGGATGTTGAACGCACTTAATGGAACAGGGCGGCGTACCCATTATTATCATAAACAAGGACAGTAGTATACCAGTAATTTGAACTGATCCTTAGCTGCCGCATAACCACAGTGACCTAGGAAATGAGGAATAATAACTTGGGAATTGGACGAACTAGTGTATAACCTAAATACCCTAGGAAACTCTACGGGATAATAGCACCAGCGCATTGTCAACAACATGCCATCACAAACAACTAGCTATCGTGGATTTCATTGCTCAGCGTTATAATCAGCTGTGAGCCGTAGATAACTCAGTATTGGACCCAATTTAAACAACGACTGCGACTAGGAGACAGCATACGAGGCACTGGTGCCGATTGGTGCCCCTCCCCCTCCCGCTTAGTCTCTCCCTCCAACCACGATCTCACTTATTAGGCATAATATGAAGTGTCCTCACATATGTGCGAGGAATGGTGTAAACCCGTTTCAAAGTCCTCAGCTTAGTCAACAACATCCTAAATCTGCGCCACCTATTGCATTGCAAGCTACGGTTTCTGTGCGGCTTCCTAACTGTCGCAGTTATTAACGTGTATGTTGCTCCCGACACAGCACTGTTCAAGGTGCAAAAGTTTACAGAATACTTTGGCTTGGAGTTACAAGCAAAGTTAGAACGTTCCATCGCCGTTCTTCCCGGTGATTTTAGTAGGAGTGTCAGTTTTAATTAAGACGATGTGTTTAGCCGATTTTCTGAAATTCTCTACTAGACTCGATGCGCATCTCTATTTAGTTATTCCAAACAAACACAGCTTTTACACACTAAAGCGTGCTCCCCTTGGTAATTCCGATCATTGCATCGTAAAGATGTCCCAAGTTATACTACAAGGCTAACTATGTTGCGCTAACAAAAAGGCCGTCTCGGACTGTTAAACGACGGAACTATTCAACAGATAACATCGAAAAGCTCAAATCAACACTTTGTGTAATGTAAATACGCCGACGGCGGATTGCAGTTACCAATTTTTTCGCGTTGTCGTTGTCTTTTACAACGAGCATCCTGGGTGACTTCACATGACTGGAGAATGTGCGAGAGCGCTTCCTTCTGGCCACAAGCTCCATGGCAATGAAGAATGGATGGTGAGGGAGTTGGTCTGTCTATGGCTATTCGTGTCTTGGTTGAGAGGACCCCACCCGTACCTGAATCTATCGTATGAATAGCCGAGGAGAGGGCTTGACTGGTTGTCTGAGTCAGTGGTGACTTGTAAAGGCGGTTATTACGTCTCAGAGCGGGAAATCATCGCCGTTCTTCAAGCCTCCTTTGCAGGAACCTTGTCGATGACAGGCTGTCCGGAGACAGACGGAGCTGTGGTAATGCAATGGATAAAGGCTGCAGAAGAATCGTGGACCGTCCAACTGACTGCAGGATGGAAGTTCGACAGATAGCGCTGCAGGCGAGATTTCCGGAGAAGGGGGATCATATTGGACAGTCACGCGCCCATACATGCTGATGCAGCTGCCACGATGGGTGAATTGGTCAACCACTTCTAGTTCCTGGTCGTCGGTAGTCAAGAGGCTATCAAGTATCTAGTAGTTCTGCTACATCTCTTTGCACCCTGATGGTGGGAAGGGCATGCAAAATGAGGTGAATACTCCAGAGACGTCATCTAGGGTTGACTGGGCCACCCCAACATCGCCAAAGCGCTAGACAATATCGTTCGCATAATCAAAATCAACTAGCTTCTCACTAAGAAGCAAATCAACGCCTGCAGCGTGAGATTCCACAAAGGAACTCTTTACAACGTAGTTGAACAAAAATGAGAAAAATGGGCAAACTTAACGAACGCCACTTGTTGTCGGAAAGACACCCGCCAAGTCACTGTGGGCCCTAACGCTGCCTGTAAAAGGCATGTAAAATGTTCCCATATTTTATGACCGACTGAGTCGAACGCACTTTCGAACTTGAGGAACACAGTTGTTGTCGGTCTGCGGTGTGTGATACTGTTCTAGCACTTACCACGGAGTGAATATTTGATCTGTACAAACTCATCCTGGAAGGCAACTGACTTGCTGTTCCCTCGTCCCAAATTCCCTTTTTATTATCCATCAATCCCCATGTCGTTATGGTTGCACAACAAGGAAGCATCAGATCAAATGGCTGATGTATTGCTGTTGTCGAAAGATTCAGTTGATGCAGTTTTCTCAGCCCAGTTCACTCGAGCAAGAATCATTAAAGTAGGGAATGTGAAGAACTGAGCCTTATTTAGTGCTTTAACGCTTTACTCGTTGCAAGAGAAAGTTAGTATATAGAATTGGACAAACGATCTCAGAAACGGTACTGGCTGTGTCATGTCTGCTGGGGTCTCTCATCACTGATTCGGTCGATCGCAATGTCCACATCGAAGTTAACGATGTCCACTCGGTTTGTCTGCCGCATTGTATGACATAACACAGCCAGACTAGTGACTGAGGAATCAAGGTCTGTCGATTCAGGCTTTAATTTCCCTGAGGAGGGACGTGGGCTGAAGGTATAGTGTCAGCGATAAATGTACAACGATGGATAATGCCATAGTCTAATCCACCCAGTTTTAGGTGAAACATAGATAACCTTGGCCTGGGGTAAAGTTATTCAATACTTGTAACCCGTGGTTTCACAAAACAATAAGGAATAAGTAGTCAGATCGATCTGTTCCTGAGACAACTTGGACGCGCGCTTTTGGGGACAACATTACCCTAACGTTTGGTTGAGAATAGTCCGGAAGCATGTCTCTTTCGTCGCCTACTCAGACCGTCACTTCTGTATGCAGATCATTGCAGTCGTTCTCGAGCATGTGCTCACTCATGGAGCCAGTAAACAGGTTGATACGGTCTCGTCTCGTTTTACGGTTACATTCTTTAGTTTCCTGTTGTTCCACAAGTACATCGGACTTCGTGACAACAACCAGGTAGGACTGGATAAGTCAAACGAAGGCCTATTATGTTGGGAAAAATTCTCGTATAAAGTCACATTTTAACAGTACACAAGCGATCGAGTCGGATGCAATTTATCGAGTATGAAGATTTTCCGTCGATCAATTGGGATGTTACGGAAGCGTTAGGCGGGCGAAAAGACTCGCCACAATATTCACTTTAGGCTCTCGATTTAGACGTTAGCTCACCCGTTATGAAGAAAGTCACGTAGTTCGTGCGACACAAGAAGGCGGTTCTCTGTCTCAATTAATTCGGTCTGGTACACCGAGTCTCGTAGAGTTAACATAAACAATTTCACATTAGGAGAGGTCAAACCGAACTAGGTTAAATTCCGGATGCACAGCGAGAAAACTCACGGGTGCCTTCCATGTAGTTTCAGCTCATCAAACGGCACAGTTCGCTATCATTGACCTGATTTCATCCAAATAATGCGGGTGACACAAACAACCATGTAATTGCTTTAGGTCCAACTTACTAGACGGACTGCTGCAACAATTACTTGGAACTGTGTCAATTCTATGTCTGAACCTACCGGGTCGGTACATAACCTGTTAGTTAAACAGTGCAAGTTCAAACCCTCAATGTTTCATTTTCTATTTTTACTTGAGAGTTCGTCGTACCAGCTTCCAAATCAGATAGTTCTCCACACGCCCAGAAGAGCACTGGACGTCGGTTTCAACCTTTTGGATTTCGTATCTAATCAACATTCATCGGCTCCACACGGATTCCAACCCACGATTACTAGCGGCTTGCGCGGCCAGCCAGCAGACTATGCCACTGAGCCATGGCAGACAGCGGCGGACGGTTATGATTTACAAGCTAATTGCAACATAGCATGACGATTTCGGGTCTGCAGTACACTTGGAGATGTTGAAAGAGCAGACGAAACGTGAATATATGATCCACGCAACCTCGGCCTGGGCGGAAACCAGCGTGTTCCTCCCGATAGTGCGCCTCGCGAGTTGGCGATAGCCTGCGCAACATGATGGATACTAACAGGTTTGAGGTCACTGATATCAGGCCTCTTCCTCTTTGATTGGCACATGAAGTCCGGGAGCCTTTCTTGAAGACTGGACGATAATTGACTCTCCCCATGAAGAGGAGACCCTTTCTCCTTGTCGTCACTCTCCGTTGAACCCTGATGTCAGTTGGCGTTAGTATTACTTTCGATGGTCTCAATCGCTTGGGGTTGGGCTCATTTATTCTTTTTGAGATTTTATAGATTGGATGCTTAACCTATTTGGTTACTCCAAATGGCATACAACGAATATGATGGGGCTTTTCACCATCGTGACGTTACCAGTGCGAATCTGACTATCAGTATAGTTCGGCATCGTTGATATACTGTCGCCTCAACGCGTAACAACTTTCCAAGCAACAATGTTTAAGCACGCTTTATTTGGTCCTTGTGCATTCACAGGTATGTCCTCGTAG